ATAATAATAATAATAATAATAATAATAATAATAATAATAACAATAATAACAATGAACACAGAAGCTGAGTTCAAGAACGAACGATTTATTGAAAAAGAGGTGTGGAAATCAGTGAATTGAATCGAGTTTCGAAGTGATAATTGATTTGATAAGACTCATCCCATATATATATAAATATATCAAGATCTTGTTTCGGCACTAAGTTGAGTAGGATTCAAAGATGGCGAACAGGTTGCTGTCGACGCTCCATGAACTGGGCAGTAGTGAACTGCACCTCCGGCGAGCCCGACCCCAGCCCCAGGCACCCCACCACCGAATCTCTGCATATACATGGCCAATTCCAACGGAATCGGTGAAGTGCTGTTCGGCAACGTACTGCCAGCTGAAGCTGGCGGCATCGGGGTCACCTGAAATTATTTCATTTCGTTCACGGTTCACCTTTTGCTCAACGAATCGATCAATTCCAGGGCAATTCGTCCAAAATGAATCTACTGATCTCACAAAACTAGAGTAAACTACTCACAGTCAGCAGCGTTAAACTCAACCATGAAATCATTTCAAAATGTCCAAAACTGGAAGCTAAAATCGAGCAATCGTAAAGAATTTTCCGACTTATTTTGCTCGTAACCCACAAAAACATCGCAAATTGAATTCATGTAAATGCAATCATAATCATATCATTCGTTAATTCATCGAATAAAAATGCCCGCAAAAAAATCAAACAATTAAAAAAAAGAATGTATCGATAAAGATGTCACATCATCGAAACCTACATCCAGCGATCCTCGACTGCTACCGTTCTGTTCAAAGCAACTGTTACAACAACAACAACCACAACACCAATACAAACACCAAAAACAACATGGACATACACGTCGTGGCTCTTCGGAATCTCGTCGTTGTGTCGGTCTCAACGAATACAATATTGAGCCGCTTACGACGACCGCGAATGAGACGAAATACAATGCATGAAACTGCAAGTTTTGCTTGATTAGGCATTGATGTTTTGCATGGACACAGGCGATTTTATCTTTATGATAACTGCTCTAGTATGAAACGAAGAGACTTATCGTTAGATTGATTGGAACTGATTG